GCCCGTCCGCAGCCCACGCAAGTCGAGCTGCCAGGAGTTGAGGAGGAGGAGGGAGGAGAGGGGGGGAGGAGGGGGGGATGAGGAAAGGTGGCCCTACCGCTACCCTCGCCTCGCTGTTGCCTTTTTCGGCCTCCTGGGGGGCCCTCGTTGTCACCGCTGGATTCGGTTAGAATTCGAGGCAGAACGCACCCCGGGAGAGGTCCGGGGAGTAGCAGTATGGGTACCTTGGTGTCTATTCGGGAGGAGGGAGGAGGAGCAAGGTGGGGGAGGAGAAGGGGGGGGTGAAGTGAAGGGGGGGAGGATGCCGACTTCGCGACCCGCGCGCTGCCGGCCGCGGTGGACATGGCGCAAATTCGATATGTATCGATGTTGTGTGTTTTTTTTCCATCGACTTGACGAAAGTTTTTGGCAGAATGCAGCTTGAGATGGCGCCTGGGCTCACGACAGAGAGGTGCGAGGAACCCTCGCAGGTGAAGTCCTGCGAGAAAATGCATTGACTATGGCGAAGGCCCTCGAGATGACCTAACCAGAATTTGACCCCTTAGCCCTGTTGGAGCGAAGCCGTGTCCAAAAACCTTGGGTGATGTGCATGAATGCCACCATGCGCCCCACCATTCGAAATCCTTGGGGTTGTCTGAACGCCAAGTGGAGCGAATCTCAGTGTTCTTGATGCACCAGAGCCCGCTGCTGCAGATGTGGTGCCTAGACCCGCTGGTGATCGAGCTGCTGCGTGGTGCTCATGATGGGTCGTGGTTTGCGCTCGGCTCCAGGCGCTCCAGGGTGACCGCGCAGAAGGGCGGCAGACAAGGTTGCCAGTCTGTAGCGCGTGCGTTCAACTCAGTGTATCCAGTCGGGCTGATCCTGTTGAACACTGCGATGAAGTTTGCTGGTGCACCGCTTAGATTCAAGCGTCGCTCCAAGATGTTCTGGCGCGGGGTGCCAGAAAGGCTTTAGGACGAGCGCAGTGGAAATGACATTCGTCGATAACGAGTGCATCGTGCTGTCCAAGTCGGCGCGCAACCTGGTGATTGCAATCCGTGCGCTGCAGGAGTTGCTGGTTTTCGCGTTCGGCATGCTGGACTTGAAAATCCAGTTCGACCCTGGCAGGCCAGGCCATGATCAAGCTTCGTAGCTGGAGGCGGCAGAGTGCTGGGGAGAGGTCGTATGCTAGAACGGCAGGCGCATCCCCTTGCCCAAAGCCGAGCTCCTGGATTCGAGCCAGAAGTGCATGCACGCTGCACAGTGGAGGCGCATGCCAAGAAACACCCTGGTTGCCTCCAGGGTGCCCTGGGTTTCTTGGGTTTCGATGGCTTTGCGATGGAAAGCGTGACGTTCCCACACCAAAAAACAAGGGACGTCCTGAGGTCTCAGGGTTAGGTTTCTTGTGGAAGGTTTATTGTGGACCCTCCACTGTATCCTCGTACAGATACTTTGGAGTGAACGTGGCCATGGAAATCATCAGATTTCCACATGCTAAGCATAAGCGTCAGAGTGTCATGCTCGCGCATGTCCCGTGCTACCAGCGTTTCCTGAGGCGCGGCGGTAGCATTGCACTTGAAGTCGGGGCTGGCGAGCGATCTCGCGCCCCGCGGATGGTTGCCGAACATGTGTGTCAGAGACACCTCGATCCAGCAACCTAGATGTATCAGCAACGTGCACAACTCTGCGGCGACTTCCCGCCATGGCTGCGCGCGGCCAGGCCGCTCGTTTCGCGCCGAGCACGCCATCCCAGGCATCGGTCGCGACGACGGCCCAGAGGTGTTGAAGGCGTTGCTTGCGCAGAGAGGTCCTGGCGAGAGTCCAATGCGCTGGTGTGTACCAACATGGTCTTACAGTCGGCCCAGATTAGTAGGTCGAGCCAGCCAGCTCAAGGGTACCCTTGTGTCCTGTGCCTCGCGACACGTGCCTTCTTACACTCCTATGGCGATGTGGCCCTCGGAAGGGTCTTGTGTCCTCTCGCGCGTCCTGTCCAATCAAGGCCGACTGTACCTCGAGCATGTCAGAGGCATGGCGTTGACTGGTATGCCTGAGCAGAATGCCGGAAGGGGTGAACTGCGACAATCTCGTCGGAGATGTTTTCACACGTGGTTGAGCGTGTTTGATTGTCAGCGCTTCCGTGCTTGACATGTGCCCAGTTCGTGCGCGTGTGTAGAGCAAGTCGTGTGCACGTGCTGTAATCTAAGCTGTTAGATCCCAGAAATCGTTAAGTCAGCACGAGCGTATCAAGCACACTGTGCACAGTCCTTTGAGACTGTTCGCATTTGCTGACGGACATTTTTCGTGCTTGCAGTGTTGCGCTTTCGAATCGATGGTGTCTGCTCCGGCACCTGTGGGATAGTAGAGGGCCAACGTGCAGGAACCCCATCCTGAGCTCGAGCATTCCCCCCTCAAGCGGGCCCGCAATTGTAGGGTCAGTTGAGGAGGAGGCGGAATCGATCCAACTCGCGGTGAAGGCTGTCCGCTCCCAAGCCAGTGCACAGGAGCCTGCCTCAAAGGATGTCCGGTTGGTAGGTTCAGCTGAGCCTGTAGCGGCCCAGGCGGTGGGACTTTAAGCGAACTTGAGGCATCCAGAGGACATCTTAGCTGTATTACATATGTATATATCGCTATACTTTGGCGTGATTCTCTCTCTCTCTCTCTCTCTCTTTTGTTGGTTTATATGTTTATCACGTGTTTTTTGCGCTTCTCTCTCTCTCGCTTTCTCCGCTCTCATCCCCAGCCAACCGACGACATTATTTGTTCGTTTGCCAGCGCGGCGCCCAGGGGGCCTCAGGGCCAGTTTCTCGTGCGGGCTCCATTTTGGACGACCCCAGGCCCGAAATCGGGAAGCAAATCGCCAAGTCCGAGTAATCACTTCGTCGGAGATCTGGGCCCCCCTCCTCCTCCTCCTCCTCCTCCTCCTCCTCCTCCTCCTTCTCCTTCGCCTCCTCTTCCCCGTCCTCATCCTTCCCCTCCTCCTCCTCCTCCTCCTCCTCCTCCTACGCCTCCTCCTCTTCCCCGTCCGTCCTCCTCCTTTCCCTCCTCCTCCTCCTCCTCCTCCTCCTCCTCCTCTTCCTCCTCCTGCCCCGTGGGTGGGGGCCTGGCACCTGTTCTCATGGTGTCAGTGCCACACGCCCCATGGGTCACACTGTTAGGAGCGTTATCCGCCGGGTGGGTGAGGTGCAACCAACCGTTTTCTTTGGGAACCAGGCGGTTTGGCATCCTCACCTTGCCATTCGTGGCGTTAGCAGCGCCCGTAGGATTGGAGTTGGTTCCCAGGCACGGGGATCGCGCGTTTGGTGGAGAGGTGGCCAATGCGGCCCGTAAATCCCATGGGGCCTTGTGTCCACTCCCCCTGGGGTACAAACCCAGTTGCGCGTGCTAGGTGTTTCGGCAGGGTTGAGGCTGCTTGAAGGTCCCCCCACGGACCAGCCGTCACGCTTAGGCTGCGAGTCGCAGGCGACGTGGTCACTCATCTGTGCCCTGACTGGTTTGTGATTGTAGCCACGTGTGTGGTTGCGACATGCTCCCACATGCTCCTCCTTTTCCTCCTCATCCTCCCCTCCTCCCCCTCCTCTTCCTCCTCCTCCTCCTCCTCATCCTCATCTTCATCCCTCTTCCTCCTCCCCTTCCTCTTCCTCCTGCTCCTTGTCATCCTCCTCCTCTTCCTCCTCCTCCTCTTCCTCCTCTTCCTCCTCCTCCTCCTTTTGTTCCTCGTCCTCCTCCTTGGCTCAAGCCATTTTGGCTCAAGCTGTTCGTGCGCAAGCTTGCACCGACCAGTTGAGTCTGGCAACGAACCCGCCCGATGGGGGAAAACCAAGAGGGGATGGACGTCGATGGCCGGGGCGTCAAGCGAGGCGCCGCGGGGGCCCCTAGCAAGGAGGTGTCGAATGGAGATATATTCGAGTTGCTCCAAACCTTCCAGAGGGTGTACCGGACCGACAGGGAGCAGTTCAACGGGGAGATTGCTAAGGTAAACGCCAGCGTCGAACAAGTTGATCAGAAAGCTGATCGCGCTCTTCGGGAGGCTTCTGAGGCCAATGAGGCCGTCAAGCAATTTCTCGTCCAGCAGAAGCAACAAGCAAGCTCGGCAGCATCGGCAACATCGAAAAATACAAGAGCGACCGGTACCACTGGAATTCCGCAGGGACGTTCGACCAGCATCGATTTGAGGAAGTTGGTGATCGGCGGATTTCCTGCATATAGTGAGCAAGATGAAATGCAAGCAGCAGCAGATTCCATCCTAAGCAACCACACGGACAATATCTTGTATCGTTATTACGCTTCTCCGGGCAATCATTGCACGATCATGAGGAGGATGCAGGAGATGGGAAGGCGTCTGTTCAGATTGGTCCTACCACGTATCGGCTTTGGGCAAAGAGGCATGGGGATAAGGAGCAGCGGGATCGCAAGTCCAGGCTCGCCAGGCTGAAGGAGGCCTTCTGCACCCTGGACAGCACGTCGCCCTTCCGCATGGTCAATCGTCAGGACGCCATAGTTGCGTATAAGCTGCCTGTCGCGGGCTTCGACGACAAGGGCGAGCTGAAGATCAAACCCGAGAATTTCACCTCAGCGATGAAGACCAACGGAGTTACGGAGGACATGGTGAAGAACGCCTATGAGAACGCTGTCCAGCAGAAGCAGCGTTCGTTTCGGCCCTTCTGATCGACGGAGAGACGCTGACTGGATTCGACCGCCAGCCAGTCAGCAGCGCGCAATTCCGACGCAGAATTGTGCAGGCGGATCGGGGCCGGCACTTCGGGGACCAGTACCACGAGGTCAACGGCGCCACAGTTTTGTCAATGTAGTTGGTCTGAATTGCTGCGGGGTTTCTCAAGATACGGAGTCTCTCCGGGACTTCCTTGAAGGTATACATATCGAGCGGGACGCACTTCTTCAGGAGTTCAATGGTTGTGGGGATGGCTATGCAGGTAACATAGATGGGCATACCATTGTTTCAGCTGCTGGGGGAGTTGACGTTCGGGGATGTGCAATCGTTCTCCATAGGAGGCACAAGACGG